CCAATTAGGCGTTTCATCCTCGCCTTGCCTTTAGAGCCTAGGCGTGCCTTAGCTGCGCCTTTTTAAACATTGAGTAGCCTTTCTTCCTTTCTCTTCATTTCCATTTTATCTTTCAGTATTTTTATTGTACACATTGTTCACCCAAAGGTGAAAGGTAGACCAATTAACCCAACAGTAAAATCTTAAATATGCCAGATGCTTTCATCTAATTTTTATGCACAGTGTTGGAAGGGATTTTCAGATACCTATCTTAAGGTTTCTTATTCTACTTTGCCTTGAAGACGCCTGCAAACCCCTGCATATAAACAGAATTTACATGTTGGCCTTATAATTGTAACAAAATTCGCTGTGTTATGTCTTGTGTAAAACGAGGTGGGTTGAACTGGGGAGGGATAGAAAGGAACAAAAATTGAAAATAAAATTTGTTTCTTTAGTTTATAGCTCTGACTATGGTCTTGAATGATTGAATTTTTACAGCCTCATCAACATCAGCCTAATGCTAGTTTTTGGATTAGCCCGGCCCCAGTGAGGGGCTTGGGCCATGCCTGCACCCTGCCAGGAAAACAATGATCTGGAACTGCTGAATCAATGTTGTTCAAGTTATCTAAACTGGCAGGAGTGCAGGCATAGAAAGCCGGGGTGAGCTGGACATGATTTTGATGGAAATATGCATCGATCCACTACCTCTCTCGGTTTATCTGGGAGCTTCTGTATCTTTGGCAAAGGTAGCATAAGCTCATTTGGTGTGTAGCATATTCATTGCTTTTGATGATGATGATGACGACGAAGATGAAAATTAGATGAGACTTCTTGGATCTAAGAATGTAATCACTCATCAACGATGAAGGTATTCCTCTCATTCATTCCCTTCTCCAAAGAAAACATAATATTCCGAACTGCATTAATGTTCATTTTTTGGCCATTATCCTTATAAATGTATCTGTTATAAAGGGGAATTGAGAAGATACTATCTTTTGAAGTGGGCAAATTGCTAATGTCCTGTGAGGGCTTTCAACGTGCAGCATCTCCTGTTGTGTACGGGTAAAAGCTTTTGCCTTGAAATAATATGCCTTTACTGGAAAAGTTGTTTGCTGCAATAATAAAGCGGACATCATTATGTACCATATAACTATTTGATCCAAGCATATTTTGAACCTTTTGATTACTATCAGCTAGTATTCGTGGTCTTTCTTGATTTACTTGCATACACTTGTTTTGTGGTTATTTTGTGCATAGAAAAACGACTAGTGTTTTCTATTGGTGTCTTTACGCATTGTATGTATTGATAGAATGCTATATATGCTCTTTGAGACCACAGTTTACCTGCAGCTCTTTGTTCAAGATTATCATGTCTGATCGGTTTGGAATGCATCATTTTGAAATTATCACTTTGCTAAAATACATTTGGAAGTAAACTCTTTTCCTAGAAATATACACTATTTTCTACATCAAAATATTGTTTTTTATTTTTTATTTATCAAAATGTTACATTTTAGTGTCTTACAAACAAAGGTACGCCGCTCTTTTCTAAAATATTAAACATCATGTCAGTGATTTTCTTTTAAAAAAATGTGTTTTGTGCGTTTTTACATTTACTCTTATTTAGTGATTGATGATAATGTTTATTCGTGCTTGGCTTGTGTATGTGTTAATGTTAACAGGGGTTTTTGACGTATATGTTTTTTTTCTCTTGAAATAGAACTATTTAACATTGTTTGTGTCATGTATGTAAAAGAGTGTTTAACCATCTATGTTTTTCTAATTTTAAAAAATAATATCATCTTAATAAATAATTAAAAATGGATATTATTCTATTATTTAATCATGAAAAAAATGATATATTTAAGTAATTTAAGGACAATATTTTTTTTATTATTGTTGCAATGTCATCAATTTAATGGAATGATAGTGTGATTAATTTGTTATAAATATAATGTCGGTGATTATTTTTTTATAAATCGATAATATTGTTAGTAATTAATTTTATAATTAGTAACTAATTTTTTAGTTTTAAAATATTAATGCGAAAAATGAAAATTTAGTCAAACATAAAAGGGTGTTTAGTTAACGGAATGTAAGATTATTTTTTAGAATAATATTATTAGAATGTAATATTACTTTGGGAATGTTAGACTACATTGGTTTGTCTAGCAAGAATGTCAAATCTCCAATATCATAACCAAAACATAAATATTATCCTCAAACTACATATCGGATCAGAACCAAAATTTAAGAGGGGCTAAACTATTCTGTCCCAAGGTAAAAACACGTAATTCATAAAGTTTTAAACACGAAGATCAGAAATACCTCAATAGAAGGAGCCTAGTACTTTCCCACCAACATTCTTTCTTCTAGCTTCTTCATGGTCCATTATTCCAGCAGATGTACAATATGCCCAAACTGCAATCAAAACACAACCGTATACATCACATTTCGATGAAAGGATCAATGTTTCTTCGGACAAACCCTTAATAATGCATATGAAAACATTCCAATGAGGGGAAAATTCTTGATGAAGTTTCTAAGCTAACCTGTCTTGAAGGAAGTAGCCTAGCAGTCCAACCCTCGATTTCTTTCACTCCCATGTCAAAACGAGGACTGATGACCCCACAGTTGATAAGCCTTCCGTTCAGTTCAACCACATTTTACCAGCTCTGTGATCATCGACATACTCAAACTCTCCGATATAACCGGTAGTGCTCAATATTAGTATATAGATCAAAAGAAGAGATGGATGTGAAAAATGGGTAGAGATTATATTCGAAAGTTTAAACAAACCATGCTTCTGCATGACCAAAAGGAACTTGATGATCACCTCTGAGGAAGGCCTGATCATGACCTGGCGTTTGCCCCTCTTCTCAGCATTGTACATGCTCTTCAGTGCATCATTCAAAACGCTGACCCTCACAATCCTTCCAAATACAGGTCACTGCTGCTTTTACATCAAATTAAGCATCTACTTACAGTTTTTAAGAAACTCACTCTCGAACTCTATATTTATCAAATATTTGAGTATTCCACTATAGACAAGGACCACAAGGAAATAATTTATATTGACTAATAAAAAGATCACATGTTTTATAAATAAACTAGACAATAATTTAAAGTTATAATACATGTCTTGAGTTATAATATATGCACACGCATACATAACGCATCTCCGTGCCCTAGTCGGATTGAATACAAGGGTTTTAACACCTAGACTGTGTCATGCAGTTTTGACAACACAGCTAATAAACAACCATCACTTTCCTACAGTAATAACAGCATTTCCGGTGATCCAATATCTTAATTCAAACGAGGAATCGTTTCTATTCAATAAACCCAACTTTCTAATCAGAGCTTACATAGTGACAGGACGAAGCAGAGGAAAATAAATTAAGGGCACAAAAAGTTTTGACCCATAGGTGGAAAAAGTGTACTCTTCACTTCCCCAGAAACACGAGATCATTTCAGTTTCATATCTTTTACAAGGAACGAAAAATCAACGACGAAACCTAATCAAATGTGTAAATAAACCATGAGGCGTTAAATGAGAAGAAAAGGAAAACCCCAAAGATATTTATGTATAGAAAAGCGAGGGAGTGAGTGTGCTGCTTACCCGAAAACAAAAGCCGGTGGCCGAGTCTGAAGAGTAGTGAAAGGAAAGACAAAAATACCGTGAAGCTAGGTTTCGGCTTTAAACTTTAGATTTTGGTTTTAGGGGCTTTGAATTGAATTTGTGGGCATTTGAAACTCAGATATGGGTCTCATCATAAAAAGGCCAAGAAAATTGTACAAAATTATGCTTTGCAATGCTATAAAAGTATATCCAACACGACTAATAATCGGGTGAGAGATGAAATTTTTTAAGTAAGATAATAAATTCAAATCTTAACTTTTGTGAACAGAAAATTTTGAATTAATGTAAGTCTCATAATAGATCTTTATAAAATTTAATCTAAAATAATCAATTAATAGATTGATATTAATATTTAAACTAAAGAAAATTAACTAGAGATCATTTGATATCAACTCATTTTTAATTTTTTTTATATATTTTTACGTAATCTTAAATAAAATAGTAGGTATAGTTGGTATATAAAGTATTTTCAACATTTTTATATAATTATTAATATTTAATTTATTGATTGATTAATCTAAATAAAATTTTGTAGAAATATATTATAAGAGTGATTCTGCAAAACAAAATTCATTTTGTGACATTTAAATATAACAATAGAAATAGAATTACATCCCAACTTAATTCAATTAAGATTGAAAAAAAGATAAAGACGAATAGTTTTCTTTACAATATATATATATATATATATTGAATGTAAAAAAAAAATCAAAGAAATAATAAGCAAAAGATTTCTCATACATAACCTAATTGCCAGAAAGAACTTCTTCATTGCTATAAATTTGATGTTTGTAACTACAGTATCAAAATTTAAATATATGATCTTACTTCAAAAATTTAATATCACATCTTATTAATCAATTAAAAATTATTAAATTTCAACATTTTAAATGATATAGATGTAATTCCTTTATATGTTTTTATTATAAATTAATTCTTAAACTTTTAAATATTATAATTTCACTTTTAAAATTATAACCTTAATTTTAAATTTCAAATATCTTACATTTTTTTTTATGTTTTGACCTTCCTTCTATATTGATAGATAATTAATTATAAGAAACTTTTTATTTTGATCATCTGACTATAAATAATTAAGAATTAATCATTTAAATTATAAAAAATTACAAAATAATCACCAATAGATAAAAAATGATAATTTATACATTAAAATAATAACATTTTTAACCATCAATATTTACATATTATTTTAATTTTATCCCAATTCTAAAAAATTAACCTGCAGAATTTTAATATTATATCAATTTAATTCCTATTAATCCATTCTCATTCCCCTCCACTCACACCCTTCACCAAAAATACCAAAACCCCAAACCATACCGTACCTTCAACTTTAACAATGAGTTCAGAACTTCAACTGTAATTATCTCCTTTTTTCATATTTCTCTACCAAATATCTGGCAAAAACAATTTTGGTATGACATCAAGCTACATAGTAATACACAATGTACATTCAAATTCAATTAAAAAGCTATACATTATTACACTACTGTTAACCAAACTTGCCTTACTAGCTGACTACCGGCACCTCATCGACCAAAAAGTGGGTGACTGAATCTTCCGACGATTCGCCAAGGCTAGCAGTTTCAGCAATTCTGAGTGCTATAATAGCTTTGTATGTAACCATATCGGCATTTTGCATTAGCAACTGAGCATGCTGGCGACTCAAGATAGCTGATTCTATCGATCTCATTGCTGCGGCTCTAGCTTCTTCCAACTTAACCATTACATCCTCTTCTACCAATGCATCCTGTTCGGCTACCATGGCTACATGTATCAGGAATAATACAGTCTCAGCAACAAATCTGAAACAAAGTCGTATCAACACATACGCACTTTGAAATTTATAGCATGTAATCATTGATGACATGAAAACCCATATACAGACATAAAAAACAGACCAAAACTTGTATGGTACAGCATAACTGCTATAATCGAGTATAATTTACCTTGAAAAAAACTCGGTTGCTTCCCTCTTGCATGGCTAGCTTGACGCTTAAATGACCTCCTTTTACGTAGGAAAGGCTGTGGAACTATTGGAGCCTTCTTGACCCGATGACCCTGTTAGAATCAAGTCATTAATCTACAGGGAGTCAAGTATATACAATGTTTATTGCTCTACATGCACACCAAACACCAGAAAGAAGTGCTAGGAGACTGAACTGCCATGGCAGAAGTGATAAAAGTTTCGAATTTCAAGACATATGGGAAACAAAAAGGTATATATACTAGTCTTAAAGAAAAGTTCAGAGCAAGAACATATAGAGTTCTTCAATTGCGAAACAGATGCACAAGTTCACAACTTGACTGCGAAACAGATGCACAAGTTCACAACTTGACCACACAACCTGTTAACTTTTTCACTCTAAATTCTTAAAAATATTAATGTTGTATCACATTGCTACGGATGTGTAATTTATAGCAAGCAAATACAATTCTATGAACTCATTGCACGACAAAAATAGGAACCAAAACAAAAGAAATAGGCCTATAAATGAATGCTAAACTTGCTTAGAAGACAAGTTAGAATTTTCTTCACTTATAAAGGATAGTATACAATACTACGATGGGGAGTTCATTTTCCCAAATGAATGTACAATGGTTTTGACATGTATTTCCATAAAAAAAAATTCCACAATTTACCTGGAAAACTCTAAGCAGTGGTGATCGCCTTTGCTCCCTTTTTTTCAACCAGTAAGCATGAACAACTTCAACCACTCCACTAATATCCAGATCAGCAGCAGCAGCAATCACATTTGAGTGATCATCTGGGCTACAAAAACATGCCTTCTCGAAAGCATCAACCATCAACTCAAAACGATCCTCTGAAAGATGTTCACAATGACCATTTCCTTGAAAAAACTCATTATTGAACTTCTTTAACCATTCCTCATCTTCTGAATCCATGTCATAGTTAGCAGTCCTCTTTGCCAAGGTTCTTGACACCTCATCACCATCAAATGAGATATATGAATCCGGTCTTCGAAACAGCACACTAGGTTTACCCTCATACCCTGATACTTCACGAACCCCAGGAACAGGAATCACTCTACAAGTTGAAGCAGGAACATTGCGCTCATTACATTCCTTGTAAAGATCCTTGAAAAGGATCCAATCTTGCCGATTTGGAAACTCGAGCTTCAAGGTATCATCCCCGGTCCAAATCATAGCTCTTGTGAAGCGATTGAGTGAGGGTGGCCTCATAAATTTATCTGCCTTCTGTGCATACTTAGTCTTATTGTCCTTTTTCACTACAAAAAGCCATTCTTTTGATGCAGAGAGCTCTAAAGTGACGATTGCTCCTTCTTCCCTGTAACATTTATCAGGTTCAATGATCAATACATTGGCAGAGCATTGAAATGAATCCGACTCCATCTCTACCTTCGGCATTAAATCCGATATTGAAGAGCTTGCATCACTCAAGTCTGACCCCGAACTGCGGATTGAACTCCTAAGCTTGTTTTTAGAAACTACGGATGAAAAAGGAATCCCATTCCTCCTGCTACTTATCAAATCAGACATCAGAGCTCCAGTAGAATTAGGGTTTCTAGCTCTCATTTTCCTCAGCGAGCTCCTCCTCTTCTGAATACTGCTTCGAACTGTTAGTTTCGAAGCTCTAAAACATGGATGCGAAACGACTTTGCTCCCAAATTTATTGAATTCAAGCACAGTAGAACCAACCGGCGGCTCCGATTTTTCCGAAAGATGACACTTTTGAACAGCGTTTCTCTTCCTTTTTCTCGTATAAACAATCCCAAACATCTTATCTACAGAGCCACCATTGTTTTTGGCTTCAGCTTTCAGTTTCCTGGACCGTTTCTTTGGATTCTCTTCGCGGCACAGTCTTTTGGGTTTCTGATTTACGTCTGCAGGAGACTTATGTACTTCACTCTTTGGGGTCTTTTTCACCGAGTTGTTGAACTCAACGCCGTCGTTGAAGCGCCTCTTGGGCTTTACTTCGCCGGAATCTTGCCGGAGTTTCCTCCCGGAACGAAGAACCCGGGCATCCGAGCTCTTCATACCGCAAACCCGTGTGCTCCGTTTCATCCCCACAGAAGGCATCGCCGCCCGGAGATAAACACTGGTCGCACGCACTTCCTACCCCGAACCCAACGAGTTGACTCAGTAGCCGACTCGACTCGAAAGAGTAAAAAAGAAAAGGAAAAAACAACCCCGAAAAGCCCCCACCCAACCGACCACCTCGTGAAATACAACAGAACGTTAGCAAATATACACACAACGGATGACCCTCCATCTAAGAAGCAGATCCATACCCATAAGTGAAGAAATTCACACACACACAAAATCAGTGACTCGGGAAAATTAGGAGAAACCCAGACCGTTTTGACTCGGCTACACGATTTTTTTTAATTTTCGTTTTGCTTACGAAAGAAGAAAACTTGTAAAGATAACTACAATAGAGTAAATAGTAAACAAGAACAGAGAAAAGACAATATTTCACTAACGAAGATCGTCCAACTCCAAATTAAAATTAAAATTACATCCACAAAATACTTACAAAACACACAGAAAGATCTTGGTTCTTTACAAAGATAGAGAGGAGATTTCTAGAGGGAGAAAAGAGAGTCTCTCTCTAGAAATCGAAGAGAGAGAAAACAGGCTTCAGGTGTTTCACGTAAGTCTTGTTCTTTTGAGATAGAGATGGAGGCTAGGGTTTATGATGATGTGATAAAAAAAAACCACTGGGAGGGAAAATCAAGAGAGTAAAGGGCGGAAAATAATTGGAAAAGAGAAATCGATTTGCCGAGTGATGGAAACCGTTGACTTATGGAACGGACGGTGGAGATCATTGGGTGGCTCCAATGACTGGGCCGTTTTTGCCCTCTAGTTTTAGGAGGGATAGGGGATATTTTTCTCTCCGGGTTGTGTGCTTGAAAGTACTAGAATAGCCTTCGGTAATTATGGTGGAAGGTTATGGTCTGTAGGAGTTTCTAACCCACCCGAATTCGATTCAATAATTTAACTTTTACTTGTACTAACCGGAGCCGAGTTTAAAAGAATTTAGGCCTTGCCATTGAGGGTGAATGTGGGTTATACTTGAGTCTCTCGGCTTATTTGACGTGGTATTTTGAGTCATTGCCAAGTGAATAGGCGTGTAATAGATTGGATCAATGAACTCAATTGGGTGTGTGTCAGAGGTTGAAGGATAAGCTCTTATGCTCTTGGGACTGAGATTCACATGGAATGGTGATTTAGAAAGCGACAAATCAAAGAAATCATAAAGTTACAATTGTAGGTGAATCCTATAAAATAGGATTATTTTAAACTCAATTTTTCTTTTAAAAATGGACTACTCTGATTCGAGTTTATTCTTTTAGAAAAATAACCTGATTAGATCAAATTAAGTTTGATCAATTGCTCATCCCGTAATATGGGAGTTTTAAGAGAGGAAACTCCGTGAACGCGTTTATGAGGGTAAATTGGGAAGTTAAAAAGGGGAACGTGGAGCAGTAAAAACCGACTACAAAGATCCTACGCCTTTACCTTTTTATTTGTATTATAATACTTGATTAAAATAAATAAAGGTTTATAAAAATATTTTTTATAATTTAAATCGGATAAACTACACAAATGATTACTAATATTTGAGTAATTATTCATTTTAACCACGGATATTTTAACAGTCATTAATCGATCACTAAAATTATCGTTTGTTATAAATTGACCACTAATGCTACATTTGTTACAAACCGTGAAGTGAACACACCTAATGACTGATTCTATTGTTTGCGCACAATCAATTTGGATGCGGAGAACTTCGTAACCAAAGTTATTAACCCTCCTACTTATATTTGATGACCAGTCCATTCAATGACAACGACAGACAATACAAACTGAGATTCTTTAAAAAAAAAGTATCCGAGTTAAAAGCAGAGAAATATCATAAGGTAATCATCTTCCATTTTGGTACCATCACAAGCACCCAAGAGCTTATCATATGCATTCAACAATTTATATGACGGTTTTAAAATGCTATAATCACATCGATCAAGTAGAGCAACCGTGGGGCATTTTAAGTCGTTGCAACAGCTTCGGCCGGAGCTTCCCACAAGGTGGTCTTCTTTCCGGTCTTCGACACGGTTTGCAGAACCACATCAGGCTGGACGTTGCCCTTCACGGTCACTTTCTGCTCCTTCAAGTCTACTTCATATGATTCCACACCTGAATATTAGATTTATGGCAAAATATATGATGAACGTTAGTGATTATTATTCTAATTCTTCAACTCACACGCCTGAAAGCAAAAAGAAGATAATCTTTTACACATGTGTACTAAAGAAACAGGAATTCAACATCTAGAAATATTATTCTAAAATGGCATAATACTAAATTTTCCCCTTAACAAGTTTGTATATATATAATTCAATAAATATTTTTTTGTTTCAACCATAGGGTTTGACCCTTGTAGGTTCATATAACATTAACAGTATATTAGAACAAGGACATCTAACAATGCACTATTGCTATACATGAAGTCATGATTCGACTTAACCTTTCATATCTAGATTGAACACAAGTCATGAAATGGTCACATTTGTATAGTCTATCTAATGTCTTTTGATATTTTGAGTAGATTATAATATACAAGTATGATATCTCATATCAACTTATTCGAACATTTCTAATCTTAATCAAATAGTCTAAAATATTACTCTTGTTAAGAATGAGGGAATATTATGGTAATGTTAACCGACAGTCAATCTATTTTGATGATATAGTGTGACATGTTACAGACTCCAACGTAAGTCTATGATATAAGATGTTAAACTTAATTTATGATAATTTTGAGCACCAAAGACATATCATCGGAAATGAACAAAGTGTTAAAAGAATGCAAGAGTTACAACACACCTTGCATTTTCCCCAAAACTCTCTTGACGGCTCCAACGCAGCCTTCACATGACATGCCAACCTTGAGAACAACAGTCTGCAATTCAACCGAATCGAAATGCGGTTCATCACATTAACATCAAAAGAAACCTTACAAAAGCAGTGTTCAACAACTATGGACCACAACAAAACAACGTGAAAACATACGATTAGAATTTAGACGCTTTGGAAATCGGAAATGGTTTACGGAAACCATTCAAAAGAATTTGGTGGTCCACCAACACAGGTAGAATGTCCTAATTCAATGAACAAAAGTAGCAGATAATCTAGATTACCACCATTTAGAGATTTATAGACGTTCTAAAAATCCATAAATTTGATTTCAACGATGCCCAAATCATACAATATCTTCCATAAACCCACAAATACCAAATCAATCAAAGTTTCATATAATGATCGGAACTTGAATCCTAAAATTAAACAGACCCAGAAACCAGAAAACAAGAATGAAAGCTTATCCATAGAATTCTGCCAAAAATTGAAAACCAAATACAAATTTCAAAAAATTAAGCCAAAAGAAAATTTGAATCAGAAAAGGAAAAGGAAAAAAAAAAGTTACCTGATACATGGCGTTAGGTTTGGAAATTCAAAGAGGGGAAGGAAAAAGGAGAAGATATTGTTGAGCGTGTGGGGTATGATGCAACGAAGATCGAGAGGGTGGAATTTTATAGCAGAATCATTGGAAGGCGATGGTGGCCTGGACCATTTCTTCCATCTTCAACGAATTCAAACCCCCGACCTTTTTCAACTGTTCTCTGTTTTCCCCATTTTTTTTTAAATAACTTACATCAATACTGTTGAATTTCGTAATTTACACCACTAAAATTTTAATTTTATCACTTTATAATATTAAATTTTAATTTTACGTTTAATTATGTCACTCCATCATTAAATTAATAAAATAAAAATAACATTGTTAACGGTTAATGACTTGACTTATCACTAAGAATAGACGTGAGACTCAAACTCAATGAATTTTGACCTAATACGACTCTATTTAGTTAGTTTTTTTAATTCGAGTTTAGATCTAGTTATTGTTTTTTTTTTAATTTAAACATGCTTTCATTCATTAAAGGAAGCATCTTCAGTTACAATAGCAGTAATAAAATAGAGAAGTATGCTTTTAAAGTGCAGTGGTTGGGATGTGAGAGAAATAAAATTAGCTAATACATATGAGGCACCATTAGTCTCCCGATGAGTGTAACTAACAGTGGACCTGAGGATGATCATCAAAGAGTTGTCTAACTTCAGACAAGTAGAATCGTAAGACAGAACGATCTGAAGAGTGGTTCATTAGCTGATTAACCACGTTAAAAGCATCACTCTTGACCACTACACTCAAGAACTCCATTTTAACCGCCATCCGAACTCTATGGCAAAGAGCTTGTGCTTCAACCAAACTAGCACTCACCCCCACCAGTACAAGGGAAAGCACGACCAACAATGACAGAACCGACACTATCATGTGCCACAAGCCCTACTATTGGGGAACCGAGTTACTGCGGACAAGTACCATCAACATTGATCTTTATGGTCCCTTAGGGGGCTTCGACTAGCGACTGTCGTGACTTAGTGAATAAGACACAATTGGCTTAGCTGAAGAGGATGACATCGTTGAGAAATAAAATGTTTGCAGAGTTTTAATGGAAGATATTAGATGCCAACTCGGTAAGAGTCGCGCTTCATGATAAAACAATGTTCTGGTGGTGCCAAATATCCCAAAGGAGTATGAGAAGTGTTGTGAAGCGTTGGACAGATAAGGAAAACATGAGAAATTCTAACCAATCACCACATGAGTTAAACTAAAAAAAATATCATTAGAGATAAATCTAGCTGAATCCAATATCGAATGAACCTCAAAATAATCCCTCAGAGCATGAAGAACAGTTTCATCAGAAGACCCACATAAACAACATTGCCTATTGAAAACCCCGACTAAAAATAAATATCGACCCATGAATGTGCTTCGTGCGATGCCAAATAATCAAACTTGTGGAAGCATAAGTAGACGAGTCAAGAACAACCATAACTGAGAGGTAGGAAGTGAAGCAAAATGTATGTGTAATAACCTCAAATATCTAGACCGAACCAAGTAGGACCTAGAAGAGTGTCCAATTCCGATAATGGTGTTGATTGTCATAGGAGAAATAAGGCATTGTAAAAATTGATGTGCATCATTTGGTGAAAAACAACTTCACACCAGATCTTTATTCCAAACAGGGTAATTTGTGAGCGTGAAATCGTCGAATAAGGTATGGCTAGGAGAATCATCCGTGGGTAGAGTATTGAGATATACGGGTGATGTGCCAACCCATCCTTCCCGAAGAAGTAGAACTCTACTGTTAATACCAATATGCCAAAAGAAACCATTGTTGAAAATTTGTTTTGAATAATGCATCGAAAGTTGCATTATAAGTTGGCAGTAATATACACCGAAAGTTGCACCAAAATTGTTGAAAAAATGACATGGTAAAATTTCTCAATTAGTTCATGTACTTTAGGGTATTTACAAGATTAGTCCTTAAGCTTCAACTATAAATACCTTAACCCATTTAGCTTCAAAACCATCCCAAATCATTCTAGGTTTCTCCCAATACTAGAGAATTTAGAGAGTTTTCTTGAGAGTTGTTTTTTCCTTTTTATCAAGAGAGAATTGTCATTGTTTTCTCCTTGTTAGATTGAGAGAAATTGTAATTCCTATTTTCTTATAGTGAAATTCTTCTATTTTTACCCGTGGTTTTTGCCCTATATTATTTAGGGGTTTTCCACGTAAAATTTGTGTCTTCTTTATCTTCATTTTTATTTTTCTCAAATTATCAGTTACGATTTTGCTCTATCCGATAACCGTATTCCATAACAATTGGTATCAGAGCCAGATTTAAGTATGTAATATATTTATTGTCTTTGTAGTTGCCACCAAAAGGTGGATCCTCAAACATAAGAAAGTAAGAATGTATTACACATTCTTTGAAGGTTCCAGAGAACTATTCACAATAGTAAAATAGTGGGAGCTATCCGTAATAGAAGCTAATACAATGAAATTTGATATTGAAAAGTTCAATGGGAGAAATTTCTTATTGTGGAAATTGAAGATGAGGGTTATTCTAAGGAAAAATAGTTGTCTAGCAGCTATCACTGAAAGGCCGGTAGATTTCACAGATGACAACAAATGGATCGAAATGGACGGGAATGCTATGACAAACTTTCATCTAGCATTAGCAGATGAAGTATTATCAAGCATCGAGGAGGAGAAGACATCTACGTAGATATGGGATCATCTCACCAAACTGTACGAGACCATATCGTTGCACAATAAAATTTTCCTTAAGAGGAAACTGTACACTCTTCGTATGCCAGAATCTACTTCAGTGATGAAGTACTTAAACACACTAAACACTTTATTTTCTCAGCTTACATCCTTAAGATATACAATAGGAGAACAAGAACGCGCTGAACTTCTAATTCAAAGTCTACCTGATTCGTATGTCAACTCATCATCAACTTGACAAACAGTAATATCATCAGCCTAGTCTTCGATGACGTTGTAGCTGCTGTTCTACAAGAAGAAAATCGACGCAAGATCAAGGAAGACAGACAAGTAAATATGTAACAAGCAGAAGCGTTGACAACGATGAAAGGGAGATCAATAGAACGTGGCCAAAACAACAGTCACTAACATGGTAGATCTAAGTCGAGAAGCAAAAAGAATTTAAAGTGCTACAACTGTGGAAAGAATGGTTACTTGAAGAAGGATTGTTAGAGTCTAAGTAAAAAACTCTAATCCACAAGGCAATACTGCAAACACTTCAGATGATGTAGATGTTCTATGTTGTGAAGCGTCAACCACCGTGGAAGGCAGAAAAAGATTTACAGAAATATGGCTCATTGATTCGGGAGCAACATATCACATGACCTCAAGAAGAGATTGGTTCCATCATTATGAACATATCTTAGGAGGATCTGTGTATATATGCAATGATCATGCCTTAGAGATCGTTAGCGTTGGAACCATCAAATTGAAGATGTATGATGGAACAATTAAAGTTGTTTGAGATGTGCGGTTCTTGAAAGGCTTGAAGAAAATTTTATCATCCTATGGATTGTTGGATAAAAATGCAAGCAAGATTGAAACATGAAAAGGAATAATGAAGGTGTTCAGTTGAGCGCTTGTGGTGATGAAAGGCAAAAAGATAATAGTAAACTTGTACATGCTGAAGGGAGAGACTTTGCTAGAAGTAGAAGCCTCTGTTGCCTCATGTAGTTCAGATTATACAATGCTATGGCATCAGAAACTAGGACACATGTCAGAACAAGGAATGAAAGTCCTAGTGGAGCAAAAGTTACTTTTAGGCTTAACAAATGTATCACTTACTTTGTGTGAGCATTGCATAACAAGTAAGCAGCAACGATTGAAACACGTCAAATTCTAGAGGCAAAAGTGTTCTAGAATTAATTCATTCTAACGTATGGCAAGCACCCGTTACATCTCTAGACGTAACAAAATACTTTGTCTCATTTATTGATGACTACTCCAAGAGATGTAGGGTATACTCTATTAAGAAGAAGTCAGATGTGTTTTCAACTTTCAAAAACTTCAAATTGCGGGTGGAACTTGATTTTGGAAATAAGATCAAGTGTTTCAGAACAAATAATGGAGGAGAATACACAAGTGAAGAAATTAATGACTTTTACAGGAAAGAAGGCATCAAAAAACAGTTCACAGTGGCGAACTCTCCTCAAAAAATGGAGTGGCAGAGTGAATGAACATAACCTTGTTAGAAAGAACAAGAGCAATGTTGAGGGCTGCAGGCCTAGAAAAATCATTTTGGACAGAAGCAGTTAATATCGCCTGTTATTCGGTGAATCGTGCTCTATCAACTACAATAGAGCTAAAGACATCAATGGAGATGTGGACTGGTAAACCAGCTGATTACTCAAACCTCCATGTATTTGGAAGTATTGTATATGTGATGTACAACTCCCAAGAAATTTTAAAGTTGGATCCAAAATCTAGGAAATGCAAATTCTTGGGGTATGCTGATGGTGTAAAGGGGTATCGCTTATGGGATCCCACTTCCCGCAAAGTGATCATCAGCATGGATGTTATCTTTGTAGAAGATAAACTAAAAATAAAAGAAGACGACAATAGCGTTGAAAAGTCAGAGACTACACAGATACATATGGAAAAGGAGTTTGAACGAGGAGAATCTTCTGAAGTAGAAACAACACATAATGAACAAGAACCAGAGAGTTCTGAAGCTTCAACAACTTGCCAATCAAATTGTGTGAAAAGACGTCCCAATTGCCACTCAGATTATGTTACAGAAGGAAATATTGCATACTGTCTTTTAACAGAGGACGATGAGCCATCAACATACCGGGAGGCAATAAACAGCTCAGATGTTTCACTGTATATCATGGCGATGCAAGAAGAAATTGAAGCCCTTCATAAAAATAATACATGGGACCTTGTGCCACTACAACAAGGAAGGAAGCCAATTGGTAACAAATGGGTCTTTAAAATCAAGCGAAATGGTAACGATTAAGTGGATAGGTATCGTACAAGACTGGTGATAAAAGGATATGCTCAAAAAGAATGTATTGATTTCAATGAAATATTTTCTCATGTGGTTCGACTAACAATAGTTCGAGTAGTCTTGAAAATGTGTGCTACATTGAATTTACATCTAGAGCAGCTAGATGTTAAAACAACTTTTCTTCATGGAAATCTTGAAGAAGA